TAGATACCAGAATTGTTTACTTCCTTTGTCAAGAAATCTTTCAACTGGGATATTCATATACATTGTATTTATAATAGAATCAATAAGCTAATAAAAGTAATAAATATTTGATATTAAAAAGCACAATACTGAATTTTATATTTTTTAAAGATTCAGATTATTAATTCAGAGTATCATTATCTGTAAAGCAGCTTTAAACCATTCATCAATCAACTCAAACTGTTTTCTGGTAGTTTGACGGACAGAATCTTTCTTAGCCTTGCTATATAAAGGGAGACTAAGAATTAATCTTATGATTTAGAAGTTGAACATGTGGATAAGGTTTGTACATTTCAATAATTCATGCTTGGTTTAATAGTAACATTAAGTTAACTAGAATCAGCTAATTTAACAAAGCATAGTAAACCAAAACCAAATGTTAATATGAGGCTTGAACCATCTCACTGTTCATAAAGCAACGTTGATTATACACTGCTCAAAAAAAATAAAGGGAACACTTAAACACAATGTAACTCCAAGTCAATCACACTTCCGTGAAATCAATCACGGTACTTAGGTACCGTGTTTCTCCAACAGTACGGCCTCCACCAATAGAAAGCCCCACCATGTTTTATTGGCATAAAATCAAATTAAGCCCCTCCCCCCCCAAATTAAGGCCCATATTAAACATGCGAAATGGGGGGGGTGGCGGGGGGGGCTTGCCGTTAGGAAGTACTTTTGTTGCATGCCTGGATATGGTGCTGCCTGCGTTGGTGGGGCATTTCATATCGGGAGACCTTCCACCGTTGCTTTCCCTTCTCCCTTGCTGCCACCGCGGCGTTTGGCGCAGCCACGTACGGCCAGTCAGGGCTCCTCCCTGCAACTGGAGCCCTGAGGAGACACTTAGCCCAACCCCACGTGGGGAGGCGAATCTCCCGGGGCCTCTTCGGTTCCTCCCCGACCTCCCTACACTGCGCGCCTCTGACGCGCCGGTCCCTTCAGCCCAGAGAGCTCATCCACCTCAAAGAAAGGCCAGGCGGGCGGCTGCAGAGCAGCGGGTCCGAGCCGCTCGCAGCGGAAACAGCCACCACCCTTAGCCCGACGCGGGGAGAACAACCGAGGAGGAGGCTGCAGCCAGTTCCTCCTGCTTGCTGAGAGGTGAGGAAGCCGCGGCTTTGCAGAGCAAGCGAAGTGCTGCTCGCCCGGGCGAGATTTGGGAGCGAGGGGCAGGAGGAGGCACGCACGCACGCGCAGCTCGCTTTCCCGGCTCTGCCCAGCCCGCAAGGCTCTGGCGCGGCCCTAGCGGGCAGTGAGCGCCTCCCTTAAAAAAAAGAGCCAGCTGAAGCCTCCTCCTCCTCAGCTGCAGCGCAGACGTTGACCTTGCGGGGAGAGAGAGGGAGAGATCCTCTTGGGCGAGCGCCATCCCCCGCAGCCCTCCGCACGAAAGGACCCACCGGTAGGGGAAACCGAGCCACGAAGACTCCCTTGGCGGACGCTCCCGAAGGAGTCGGTCGGAAGCGGTGTGGCTAGGCTGGCCGCGGAGGTGCTCAGTGCAGGTGCCTCCAAAGGCGGGAAGGATGGGCTGGCGGGCGCTAACCTCGGTCGTTCTCCCCGCGTCGGGCTAAGGGTGGTGGCTGTTTCCGCTGCGAGTGGCTTGGACACGCCCCTGCTGCTCCGCAGCCACCCGCCTGGCCTTTCTTTGAGGTGGAAGAGCTCTCTGGGCTGAAGGGACCGGCGCATCAGAGGCGAGTAGTGTAGGGAGGTCAGGGAGGAACCGAAGAGGCCCCGGGAGATTCGCCTCCCCACGTGGGGTTGGGCTGCCCTCTCGGGCAGGGGAGGCTTTGTTGTAGTAGGGTGTCGTTTTTAAAATAATTCGCTTTACCTTCGAAAGCAAAGGGAAGGCGGCGACGGGAGCGCCTGAAGCCAAGTGTCTCCTCAGGGCTCTGGTTGCAGGGAGGAGCCCTGACTGGCCGCACATGGCTGCGCCAAACGCCGCGGCAGCAGCAAGGGAGAAGGAAAGCAACGGTGGCCCGAACCCGAAGATCTCCCGAACATCCAAGCTGTCGTCACCCGCCCACCCACCCGAGGATGCAAGGGGGGGGAATTAAGTCACCCCCGAAAAGACGGCCTAGCTGCTTTTTCGGGGGTCAAAAAAAAAATAAGGCCTGGCCTTATTATGTGAGAAACACGGTAGCAACATTGATTGACAATCAATTTCACATGCTGTTGTGCAAATGGAATAGACAACAGGTGGAAAGCATAGGCAGTTAGCAAGACATCCCCAATAAAGGAGTGGTTCTGCAGGTGGTGACCACAGACCACTTCTCAGTTCCTATGCTTTCTGGCTGATGGTTTGGTCACTTTTGAATGCTGGCGGTGCTTTCACTCTAGTGGTAGCATGAGACGGAGTCTACAACCCACACAAGTGGCTCAGTGCAGTTCATCCAGGATGGCACATCAATGCGAGCTGTGGCAAGAAGGTTTGCTGTGTCCAGAGCATGGAGGCGCTACCAAGAGACAGGCCAGTACATCAGGAGATGTGGAGGAGGCCGTAGGAGGGCAACAACCCAGCATCAGGACCGCTACCTCCGCCTTTGTGCAAGGAGAGACAGGAGGAGCACTGCCAGAACCCTGCAAAATTACCTCCAGCAGGCCACAAATGTGCATGTGGCTGCTCAAATGGTCAGAAACAGACTCCATGAGGGTGGTATGAGGGCCTGACGTCCGCAGGTGGGGGTTGTGCTTACAGCCCAACAGTGCAGGATGTTTGGCATTTGCCAGAGAACACCAAGATTGGCAAATTTGCCACTGGCGTCCTGTGCTCTTCACAGATGAAAGCAGGTTCACACTGAGCACATGTGACAGACATGACAGGGTCTGGAGATGCCATGGAGAACGTTCTGCTGCCTGCCACATCCTCCAGCACGACCGGTTTGGCAGTGGGTCAGTAATAGTGTGGGGTGGCATTTTTTTAGGGAGCCGCACAGCCCTCTATGTGCTCGCCAAAGGTAGCCTGACTGCCATTAGGTATTGAGATGAGATCCTCAGACCCCTTATGAGACCATATGCTGGTGCGGTTGGTCCTGGGTTCCTCCTAATGCAAGACAATGCTAGACCTCATGTGGCTGGAGTGTGTCAGCAGTTCCTGCAAGATGAAGACATTGATGCTATGGACTGACCCGCCCGTTCCCCAGACCTGAATCCAATTGAGCACATCTGGGACATCATGTCTCGCTCCATCCACCAATGCCACATTTCACCACAGACTGTCCAGGAGTTGGGGGATGCTTTAGTCCAGGTGTGGGAGGAGATCCCTCAGGAGACCATCCGCAACCTCATCAGGAGAATGCCCAGGCGTTGTAGGGAGGTCATACAGGCATGTGGAGGCCACACACACTACTGAGCCTCATTTTGACTTGTTTTAAGGACATTACATCAAAGTTGGATCAGCCTGTAGTGTTTTTTTCCACTTTAATTTTGAGTCCATGGGTTGCTAAATTTGATTTCCATTGATAAATTTTGTGTGATTTTGTTGTCAGCACATTCAACTATGTAATGAACAAAGTATTTAATAAGAATATTTCATTCATTCAGATCTAGGATGTCTTATTTTTGTGTTCCCTTTATTTTTTTGAGCAGTGTATTTAAACTGACAGCATGATCTAGTGAGTCAAAAACTGGCTGTGTTATACATGGTTTGCTGAGTTAACTACAATTGGTTAGGTTCAGAAAACTCACAAAGACCTAATTCAATATGTTGCATGAAATCCACTGTTTTATAAACTGTGATTCATAACTTAATATACTGTGTGATTCTAGTAAATTGCATATCTACTACCCTATTATTAAAAGCTATTAAAGCCTCATGCTAAGACAGCTACGAGCACTCACTGAAAATAATGTACCGATGGACATCACCCTTCATTCACTGAGAACTTTGCCCCCAACTGGCTTACTATTGGATGAAGCAGAGATAATCTTTCATTCATTCAATATGATTCTGTCAACTCAGGTGTTAAAATGGTAGCCATTTTGCAACTCTGCTCTCATTATAACCATACCAAGCTGTTTTATATGCACCGTATAACTAACCTTGCAGGATTATTCAGGACAGTATGAAAGGGGGTGAGTTTTAACAATTTTAATATGACTTTGAAATTAATCTTCACTAATGCAGAGAATTCCAGTCATAATTCTATTGTCCCAATCAGCATTGTATTTTTTGGAACAATTGTTGGAAAAGTATATCAGAAGATAGGGAAATAAATTCTGGTTGATACTTCATATACTACATATATTCTAGTTGTGTTGCCCAATGCAGAGACTAGGAGCATGTGGGTATAAATTCTGCAGGAAATAAAGTGCAGAAACAGATAAATTTTGTAGAGTGGTGCAGAAAAAATCCCCCACTTTCACTTTCTGATCTCAAGCCATCCCTCAAACATCTATAGGACCAGAAGTTATTCCCTTATTCCCGAATTTGCCCATTCTAAACATAAAACCTGAAACGAAAAGGACACACAAGCATACTAGCTAATCTCAGAAAATGGGGGAGGGGGGATTGCCTGTGTTCAAGGGCAATCATTGCAAAACCCATTTAACTAAATAAATGTAATAATACACTTTTCTTCTTGCGGGAGGGACTAAAAATTCTGCCTGCATTCGGAAATGCTCAATCCTAGATGTCAGGAGTTTCCCTAAGGGGAAAAGAGGGCAACCCCATGAAGCTGCTTCCAACTCGGTATCTACAGGCTACTCTGCCAGCTTGCCGAATCCATTCCTGGGCCCTAAATCCCCACCGATCCTTTCCCCCCATCCAGTAGTAGCGACCCTTACGAGGATAGGAAAGCCTAACCCTCCCGCCGCCTCCCTAGCTGCGCCTGCGGTAGAGCCGGGAGTAGGCCTTTCACAGCAGCGGCTTTGCGTAGAGAGCGTACCCCTAAGCGCTTCGGTGAAAGTGGGCTAATTCCTGAAGAGAAGACAGCGGTTCCTCCCGCGGCCTTCTCACCTAGCCTGCTTACCTGGCGGTATCGGAGGCGAAAAGGCCGCAAATATTGGGAGGCGATGCAAGGTCCGAGCGCCAGTTCCTCGATCGATTCCATGCCGGGTGCCGCTATTTCAGCCTCGGTTGACGGCGCGGGGTTAAACTTGCAGGGAAGCCGAGAAGTAAGGAATGGAAAGAAAGAAGGGGAGCGCGGGCAAGAGAGGCAGTCGGCGAGGAAATGCATGCGGAAACTAGAGAAGAGCGCGCGATGCGCGAGGGCTTTTCCGGGTGTTTACCTTTCCCCTCATCTTTTTCCCTGTGTGGATGAGTGGAGTTGGAGGGCAATGGATGCAGGACAACGCTATCTTCCTATGGAAAAATACTTTGAATTCAAAGTGGAGGACAAGGATGTTATTAAAGTCCTTTAAGAGATAAAAGCTTGAGGGAGACCTTATGAAACAGTTTGCACTACACTCTTCACCCCCACTTTGCATTGCAAGAGAGATAGGACTGGAAATGGCACAAATAGCAGTTCTTAGCAGGTTTATCTATGTGATCCCTAGAAGTCAATAACAACTTGATGGCAAAGTATCAATAATTTCTGGGGGGGGGGGGGCGTCCTTGGTACTCTCTGAGCTTGGCTGTTTCTTGCAAAGGTTTCATTAACCAAACATAGTAGTAGTTTCAGAGTATTCAGAGACTGCTAATGATTAGGTGATTATAGCTAAAGAGAGGTTCTGGGTGCCTTTTTTGGACTAGATAACAGAATAACAGAGTTGGAAAGGACCTTGGAGGTCTTCTAGTCTAACCCCCTGCTCAAGCAGGAGACCCTATACTATTTCAGACAGGTGGTTGTCCAATCTCTTCTTTGAAATCTCCAGTGGTGGAGCACCCACAATTTCTGAAGGCAAGCTGTTCCAAATCTACACCAATTACATTAAGCTAAATTTCTTTATTTTTGGCACAGCAAGCATGGCCATTATTATTTATACACTGTGTTTTATGATTTGATATGTGCCAGTTGTGATTTGTTCAGTACATTATCCTTAAGAAATTATGTCTTATTAGGCCATGATAATTCTACATCATCTTTACTTCATCCTTGCAAAATTGACAAGTATTATTTCCAGATTATGAAGAAAGGGGTAGAAGGAGACAGTCAGAGAAGTTACCATAAAGCTGCCTGGTGAATTCTTTACTGGATATTGATAAGGATACTTGTCCAGTTCCTTTTATTCTATTTGAGGCTTCAGATGAAATAATGTTGCATATATAATCAACTTCTAAAAATAATGCACCCAAAATGACTTGTTTTTTAAGTTGTTACAAATTAATCAAATTGAACAACCCTGCATTGTTCCTTTTATTTTTAACATTTGCTGTATTTCTGCTTGTTTTAGTTAAGCTAGTAATAGCAAGGAGCTCTCCTAGGTATTAACATCCTTCACCAGCCAAACCTTTAGCTTCCAAAATTTCAGCATCTTTTGCCCCATTTTACGACCTTTCCTGTCATAGATGTTAAGTGAATCTCTGAAGTTAAGACAGTAGCATGGTTATTAAGTAAATCTGTCTTCCCCGTTGACTTTGCTTGTCAGAAGGTTGCAAAAAGTGTTCACATGACCCTAGGATCCAGCAACTGTCATAAATATGAATCAGTTGCCATCTGTCTGAATTTTGATCATATGGCTATCATGGTCATAAGTATGAAAAACAGTCATAAGTCACATTTTTCAATTCCATTGTAACTTTGGTCACTAAATGAATTATTGTAAGTCGAGGACTATCTGTATACAGGGATGTATGGAGAGTTTTATATTCAGGGATTGGATGGGCTTTTCTCAACATTGATAATGATTTTGGTATTCTTCCAATCCTGTGAGTAGCATGAATAAACTGAAGAATCTCAGAGCATCCTTCACCAAGAATAAATCACAGGATAGTAGAAAAATGTAACAACAAATATGGCTTTTTTGTAAGTGGTAACTACTATGTGAAAAAAAATATGTTAGTGTATTTCCTTGTAATCACAAATCTTATAACTAAGATTTGAAATACCTATTAGAGAGAGTTGTACCATTAGATTAAAGTCAACTCAGCAAATAGTATTAAAGAAGAAAAATATTTGTGTACAATGATTTAAAAATTGTTTCAAGATTGTGCCCCTAGTAACAGAATGGATGCAACAATTTTGATCATTTGTGCTAGTATTTAAAAAAAAACTCTCTACATTTTGATAATTAGCCTCTGGAAAAGACAATTTGGCTATTAAATCTAGCACTAAGCACTGAGTATGCACAGTTAGTATACACAAGGATAAGATGATCCTCATACAATATACAATATTTAGTGGAGAATCCAGAACAGTAGAGTCAGAAATAGCCCCCTCAATCTATATATATAAAAGTGAAAAAGCACTCATGCATCATCACAAAATCTCCAGAACTGTAAAGCCTACAAACTTGAAATTTGGCACGTATGTTGCTCTTGGTTTCTAGGTGCTCACTAAGAAAGGATTTTTTGAAATGACCATCAGAGCATTAGTATTTCGTATATTGTTATTAACACGCTCTGATGCTAAGGAGTTCTACTCCCCCTCCCCACCTGAAAAGAAATTATTCCAAATGCAAAACACAAGCAGAGGAGTTTCAGTTTCAGTTTTAGTTTCATAGCAGCGAGCAGATTTACTACAGAACACTTGAGCTAAGCCATGCCCAGGCTTGCTGTCTCCTTGCTCACACATCAAATACTGTGTGCATTTCCTAACATCCCTCAACTCTCACACACTGATAGGATGCTGGCCACATGAATACCCATGGATGCTGGTAGGCAGAGACAGAATTCCCCCCTCCCCTTATTTTCCTCCTCTGTTCAAACTAATCTGTTCCTTCTACTGTAACACCAGTTAAAGGGAAAAGAGGCAAAAAATTCAGGAAAAGATTTACATATGCGATTAGGAAAGCACAAGTAAGGGAAGCTGTACACAAGTATTGTCAAACTCATCTCCAAGTCAGTACACAGGCTGTAAAAAAGTATACATCTAATAATCCCTAGGTTAATCAGTCACAAATGAGATCAATGTCTTGGACTAATAAGTACTTGTCTAGTTTTCAATATGAACCTCAGATTCATTATTCCAGGGAAAGGGTTGTTGATCTCAGACCTGGGTTAACTTGTGCCTGCTGCCATGCTCTGAAGTGGCAGGATGAGAGTCCCGGGATCTGCTGCGGTGGCGGTAAAGTCCAGCTCCCTCCCCTCAGCCCTCCCCTGAACCCTTATACAGCCTTCTCACCCACCAGCATCTTCTTTGCAAAGCATTTTCTTTGTGCTGTCCAGAAGTATAACAGATGCTTCCAAATGATGTCTTTTGGAGCCAGAGTGGTGAAAGGGGGAAATTTTATGCCAACATTCAAAATGCACTATTCTTCTTGGCTTCTAGATGCTCACTAAGAAAGGATTTTTTGAAATGACCATCAGAGCATTAGTATCTCCTATATGATTATTAACATGCTCTGATGCTAAGGAGTTCTACTCCCCCTCCCCACCTGAAAAGAAATCTCTTCCAATTGCAATTCAGCTAAGTCACACCCAGGTTCCTTGCTGTCTCCGTGCTCACACAGCAAATACTGTTTCAGTTTCCAAACAGCCCTGAACTCTCTCACACACTGACAGGATACTAGCCAGATGAATACCGATGGATGCTGGTAGGCAGAGGCACAATTTTCCCCCCTTATTTTCCTCCCCAAAAACTTGCCTGATCACATAGTTTCGTAGTGAAGCACAGGTACCCTGCTAGTGTAGATACAAATGCTTTGAAGCCTCCATAGCATGACCATGTTCTTTTCTCTATTTCAAATCAACCAGCATACGTTTGGCATAATTCAGTGTGATTCTGAAATCAAAGTTGTAAATGTTCTAGTATATAATAAAGCAAACATACACTTTATTTACTCAAACCTCTCTTAATTAGCTCACTTATCAGGATCCTGAATCTTTTATTAGATTTATAGAGGTATGGCCTTTTGACTCCAGAGCAGTGGTTCCAGCAAATCTAGAAATTGCTGCTCTTCTAAAACATCCAATAATTTACCTTACAGCCCACTTCTAAGTTTCAGCATCCAATCTTTTTGTTGTTCTTTCTTTAAGAAGGATGTATTATTAGGTGCTGAGGCTGGTTGGGTACAGCAGGTGAGCTTTTTATTTTAGTTGTAAATTAAAAGGAAGTTAAATGAGGAGGTGTCAAGGGAAGTGTTAATGGATGCTGGCACCTGGTGGCACATTACTGGGACATAGTTTTATGCTTCAGGGTATAGCTCTGAAGGTGAATTGCTTCCAACAAACTATAGATAAAAATAATTGAAAAAGGTATTTAACAAGTTTTGGTTCAAGAAAAACAAGCCAAAATTTCCAAATTCCTCTCTGTTATTCTAGTTAGTAAAAAAAGAAGACTAATTGGGATACGGAAATCATAGTTTATTAGCACTGAGCAATAGATTTACATACCACTCAATGATGCTTTACAGGAGATCCGGTTTGAGCTTCTTCAGCAACAGACCGAAATCTGTGATCGTGTGCAGTTTCAATCTGTGCTTGCTGCTGGAGTGCCCCAAGCCGGCTGGTTTCAGGGCTAAGCCACCCCATAGAGGTGGTGAAGAGGGGGGAGACTGTCAGCAGGGTCGAGGAGAGCCGCATCTCTCCTCCCCAGCTGGCCATTACTCCCTTTCCCGAAGGCGGTTGCAGCGGTGGTCAGAAATGGCCACCTCAAAGAAGAACTCCACCGGAAAAGAATGTGCAGGAGGAAGATAAGAAGAAATAGTTTTGGCTGACCGGGTCAAACTGGAAAAACAACAATACAAGGTACCCTGGAATTTGAATTATAAAGAACAACATTGTTCCCAAAGAGGACTTTGAAGCTGCGAATGAGAGAGGGAAGGGAAAGGGTTCCCCCCCCCCTATATTGACAACTAAGAGATTTAAGCAAGAAATCGGCAAAAATCCACTTTGACGTTAACAAGTATTTAAGCTGAAAATAAAATGTCAAAGGGATAATAAAGATTTCTGGATTCTCAAAAACTTTTAAAAGAAGGAAAAAAACAAAAGGGTGGGATCTGGAAAAAGGGAGGAGACCACCTGGAAGTGAAAGGAATTAACAGTGAAACTTTAACAAGATTCCTAAAAGATACATTTTAACTGAAACTTTGTAACAAGATAAGAGAACCCCAGGAAGAGAAAGTGGAAAAAAGAAGCAAGAAGAAACAGC